GCACCAAGCTGGCTCCAGAAGAAGAGAAGCTGGAGGGGAATTATGGATTCGTTTGTGCTCTTTAGGGCTAATACTCGAGTCATGTTACGAGAGGATGACGTGACTGTGAAAAATATCAGCCAGATTTTACAGGTAAGCAGTTAATCCAGAGCTGGTTTATGAGAAGCCTGGCCACTTCCTATTTCCCCCGTTATATCAAAAACAGTATTGCTGAACAGCAGAGGGTGCTTGCGAGTGGGTCCTCAATGAATGAGAGTGAATGGAGCTCAATGACTAACGATATATATCCTTTTTCTACAGCAAACAGGTTTTGGGCAGCAGGAGGTGGGCATTACTGCTAGAGGGTGATGATTGGTTGGCGAGCGGAGCAGATCATTGGCTGTTCGCGCTCACTGACGTCATGGACGTACATGAAGTGCCATTTTAAACTCTTTTAACTCGAGTTTAAAAGCTCTCAAAAATATAACAGCTGTGTTAAAATGTTTTATGCGGTTCTGTGTTCAGGAAATGATAGCATTCTTTTACATTAAAAATGTTTAAGAATTTATAAACTATGATTTTCCTCAAATGCTCCATATCAACCCCTTCATTTTGGACTCACTTGGGAGCGCCCTCTAGCGTTTGAGAAAACCGGAAGACATTGCAGAGTGGGAATTCTCCTCCCTACAGGTTCTCTGGTTATCTCTTTGATAAAAAAAATCAAAGTGGCTGTAGTGTTTTTCATTAATAACATATTAGATCACTAGCTAACTAATGTAAGTAACTAGCTAGCTCATAATCAACAGTGTTGCTGTAAATTAGTTCTTTCAGCCTGATTTCCTTATGTGGTAGAAATTAACTTATACTAGCAAAGTGTTCAGAAAATTGAGCTTAGAGAACAAAAATCTGTCAATAAGTCTGTTTTAGCTAGCTAACAGTGTAGACGAGGGCTATGGGTCTTCAAGCTAAAATAACTGTGCTAACTAACATGTTGTTTATACTGAAAGCCATTTACAGGTGTGTTTAATTCAGAAACCTAATGTGTTCTTTTTTTCTTCAGTTACCACACTGCAATAATACTGTTTTCACTGGTGTCTGTATAGGCAATATTTGCAATATTGCCTATACAGTATATAATGTATGCTTTCTCAGTGATAGATGTAACATGTACTAAAGATGTTTCACTCCTTTTTTTCCTGGGCTCACTGTAATGGTTCCTTACACACCTTTCCTGGCAGGGTATAGGGTTGTACTGTGTTATATAACTTGCAATTAATGGAAATTTGGCATAAATATAGACTTTTGAAGCTTGTTACAGACTTCTGTGACACGCAACAATCACTGACTGGCCACTTCATTAAGTACACCTTCTTGTATCTACACTCATTGTCCATGTTATCAGCACCGCTGACCATATAGGAGCACGTTGTAGCTTGTGGATCTACAGTTACAGACTGTAGTCCATCTGTTTCTCTGCATACTTTGTTACCCTGTTCTTCAGTAGTCAGGACCCCCACAGAACCACCACAGAGCAGGTATTATTTGGGTGGTGTATCATTCTCAGCACTGCAGTGACACTGACAGGGTGAAAGAGGGCTAACAAATTATGCAGAGAAACCTGGACTGCAATCTGGAATTGAATACCTATTACAGAGTGCTATATGATAAGTGGAGCCGATAAAGCAGACAATGATTGTAGATACAAGGAGGTGTACTTGATGTTGCCAGTCAATGTATTTTGAGGTTTTACTTTGACTCTATTAGTAAAGATTTCAACTTAAACCCTTGCTGTCGTCTATGAATCATGTCGTAGGTCAACACCAGCACTCTGTATATCACGCGTGATAACCACTTGGCACTTTTCCCTAACGAAAGTGGGCGATTCAGCGTCATTGACCTTCATCCTTGAGGACATAATGAAGTACATGGGGTGAGCGTAGAACAGTAAGAACCGTCTCCAACGACCTTGAGCAGACCACAGTTTAGTTTTATGCGCTCTGCACCCTCAGCTACATCTGGGCCAACAGCATATATGGGCACCCCAAGAACACCAATAGCAAGATCATTTCAAAGGTAAGTTAACAGTTACAGCTTTTGGCAGCTACGTTTTTCCAAAAACTCTTGATCTAGTTCAATTTTCTCTTTGCTTTCATTCAGAATTCGAAGTCTACAATGAATGAGTAAGTAAATGGCTGATTTCTGTCTTCATGATGAGCCATTTTACTTGCAAAAATACTGAAGTTATTAGTATATAGTGTTTATAACAGCGGAATAAAAAGATGTTTTGTCAGTGAGAGACATTAAACATCTACGTTCTTTTATGGATAATCCGCAAACCTTGAAAATGATCATAAGTGTATGTTATGAATATAAATATATCCATCAGAGCTCAGCATGCACCATAGGATCCAGAGGAGTCATCAGGAGCTCAATGTTGCAGAACACCTTTCTAACCTGAAGTTCAGAGCGGGGGAGAACATGCAGGAGAAGCAGTAATGGTAGCAGCAGAACACATATCACCTGTTAGAAGTAAACTGAAGTCAGAAACGCCCCTAAAATAAGCATCACCTGCTGTGGTGATGTCAGTGGCTCACAGACTTGAGGCCGTTATTGCCTGTAAAGGTTTTGGGACTAAATACTACTTTAAACTAATATTTTTGCGTTAAAGTTTTTCGCCCCAACTCTTATGCTCAGCTGAAAATGGAGGAGAACACAAATTACGTTTTTTCCTAAATGGTTTATGTTATATGACAAACACTGCCCAAAAGCTGTCTTGTGCTTTAGTATCAAGCATATTATTTGATCTTATACAAATTTTATAAAAATATAACAAAACTATTTCACCTAATTTTTCCCATATTTTGCTTCTCACTGTACATAATAGTGCCCTAAAATGCATAGAGTGGTACATTTCAGTCACATACTATTAGAAGCATTAGAACATTGATAGGCCACAGTGGTTTAGGGGTTGAGGGTAGTACCAGGGGTGGATCATGGTGTGGCAAGGCCCCTTGGAACAACCATCTTTGGAGGCCCCCCAAACTCTGATAATAGCATGTAATACATAAATAAACAAAATGACCTGAAAAGTAAGATAAACAATATTTCATGTGTGTACTGCACTTTAGTAATGCAACTTTTTAAGTTTTTTTTGTTTGAAAATAAACCAAATTATCCTTACTAATGTGTAATATCTTATTGTGTCTACATCATAACTTTTTTTGTGATTTTTAGATCTGAAGACAAACTTGAATCATGTTTACTTTTCTTTTTCTTTGAAAACCAAACCCAATCATGATACAAAAACTTGGCAGTCAGAGGTCCAACTGGCCCCCTCAGTAATCTTTCCCTGGGTGGGACATTGTATTTGTATTCTAGAGTTTTTGTTAGCTTTAGTCTGTTAGTAATAGAACAACTACAATAATGGCATTAATAACAATACAGTGAGCTTTATTTATGTATGAGAAACAAAATACATTTAAAAAAATCAAAGTATCTAGCCATGTGCAAGTAGATGTATAAAGAAAACAAGTAACAAAAACTGTCTGTTATATAAAAGATTAAAAAATATCACACAAATAAAGTAGTAAAAAATATTAACAAACAAAACAAACACAATAACAACAATATTCTTCCTATTTGGGGAAAGAAAATCTGACTCAAATACATGTCAGTCTTCTACTAGCAGTAAAATAGTAAATAAAGGCTGCTCAAATACCATTTTATTCTACCAGCTGTTTTATCTACACTGCTGGGTTAACCTTTTGGGCCATTTTGCTGACTAGTTTAAACAGTCCAGTGGTTTTTGCTAAATAATTTCAAAAATATTTGAGCAAGATTATATAAGGAACCTAAATATCTCTGCTACAAAGTAAACTTTGTTCTCAGGTCCTTCTGGTTGTGAACAGTTCATCCATAATTAGAGTGAGTGCAATCGAGCAATTACCTCATAACATTTACTGAAAAGTCTAGCAAATCAGTGCAAATACAATGAATTCAATACAAGTATATGTTGCTTTTCAACCTAAATACTTAACACTATACACTGACTGGCCACTTCATTAAGTATACCTACTTGTCCATTTGTCCATCTGTTTGTTACAGTGACACTGACACTACTACCACGTCAGTGTCACTGCAGTGCTGAGAATGACCCACCACCCAAATAATACCTGCTCTGTGGTGGTCCTGTGGGGGTCCTGACCACTGAAGAACAGGGTGAAAAGGGGCTAACAAAGCATGCAGAGAAACAGATGGACTACAGTCTGTAATTGTAGAACTACAAAGTGCTCCTATACAGTAAGTGGAGCTGATAGAATGGACAATGAAGGTGGGGGTCCCCAATGAAGAAGGAATGAAAGAAGAATAAACTTTGATAAGATAAAAATTCGGCTTAAGCCTGGAAAAAAACATTTAGCCTTTAAAGTACATTCAGTGCTGTAGAAAATATGCGTCCTGGGTCAACAATGTTCTTGATTTGTCTGTGGCTTACTTTTTAAAGAACTGCGGAACTCTAAATGCCTTGGTTAAACAAACAGGAAAATGAAACTTCTCATACACTGTGTCATGTTAGAATGAAGAAAATATACTGAGAAGTTTGCATGCTGTCTACTCCTCATCTCCATCCTGCTGTCTAATTAAAGTCAAGCAAATTACCGAAATGTCACAAAACAATAATGTAAACAAGGCTGTGTTTCCAACCGCTCTGTAAAAGAGAATAAGACTGTCTGTGTTAAATTCTGAGTCAAAATATGCATAAAACTGTGTGGCTGGAACCCGAGCCCTTGATAAATTTGCCTTTTCATCCAGGAAACATAAATAATATGATTCAAAAGCCATCGTAAAAAACACTTTAAGGGGAGTCAACCAACCCAAATCTAGTATCTCAGGAGGCCCAGTAAGCTTATTTAATTCAGTTTCATAGCTTGGCAAAATTGGCAAGGCGGTAGCAGAAAGAAACTGTCACATTTATCGTGTCCAGTTCTAATGAAAGCGAGTAGCTCTAAGCAGTTATGTAGCACATATGCAGCTCATGTAAGAACTGTAGCAGATTTAGCAGTGCTGTATGTGATGCTGCTAGCATTGGTTTCTGATCTGCTCTGATCTGTTTGCTGTTCTCTCTGACATGGGAGAGCCTTCCTCCAGGCCATTGTGTATGCTTTCTTTATTTTGGGTATCTTGAAAGCATAAACTACAGGATTCACCGCTGAGTTGGCATGTGAGAGGAGAATGCCAACATAGAAAGCGATGTGAGGGACAAGGCTGCTCTGGCTGTAAAACTCAATGGTGTTCATGATGTGTATGGGCAGCCAGCAGGCTGCAAACAGAGCCAGAACAAGAGCCAGTGAACTGGCCAGCTTCTTCTCTTTAACGTAATATGTGCTGGACTTGACGGCCCTGATAACACCTCCTCTCAGCTGCTGAGATATTGTGCAGAAGATGAAGCCATACAGAACAGTCATGATCACCATGGGAGGAAGAAGGCAGCTGAGGAAGATGAAGTTGACCAAGTAGGACATTGGTATGACGGTCAGGAACTGGCACACGATGGTGGTGGAGTTGGAAGGTTGTAAAGAGTTGTAGTTGTTCCATCCAAACATAGGAATGAAGCCCAACACAGCAGCAATCATCCAACATACTGTCACTATGGCCCAAGAGTGTGTCCGTTTGACTCGTCCTTTGTACCTGAAAAGGAGATTAAATTGAATTACTGGGGAGAAAAAAATGTAGTTGATTATAGATTTCTGAATATGACTGAAAAATATTAATTGTCTAGGTCAGTGGTTTTCATCATGTGGGTTGCAGTGTGGGCCCGAGTGGGTTGTGAGGAAACCACATTGATGCATTTTTAGAACAAGAGTACAGCTATAAGGAAGAGCATTTTAGATCAGAAGCCGTAACCACACTGCTTCTGCACAAGAGAATGCTTGCTGTGCTAAAAGCTTCGAATCTATTTTTGTTGCCTCTACACAGCATGCAGTAGGCTTACCAGAGTTAAAGGAGCAATAAGCAATTTTTTCTTTGCCTTATAAAGTATGGCAGTGTTCTTGGAACTGTATACCCTCCCAGTGTTACTCTGAAGTCCTCTGTCCTTCATGGAGGCTATCAAAGTGGACGTAATGCCAGTGTTTACCTTAGTTCTGGTTCTTTGTCGATGCTGATCTCATCGTTCTCTTCCTTTGTTTTTTGGATTTTTTTACATGATCTGACATTGTTCCCTGGTGACCCCTCGACTGTTTCTGCTTGTAAAGAGTAGCATAGAGTAGTTTTTCTATACAGTACTCAGAAACATGTAGCGTACCTGTTAGATACTACTTTGAATGGCTGATGGGAAAGTGACTAGTGAAGCTTTCACCATGCAAATCTGAGCATGCAATTCTTTTTCTTCTACAACAAGTTTGCCCGGCTGTTGTCACATGACCGAAACATGGCATTGCCTATGTGTGGACCTGCGGCTCATTTTGATAAAATGGTTTATATAAGCTTACGAAGCAAACTGAGTCCTCATCTCAGGTGAGTGTACATTATGAAAGAAACTTACAGCTCCTTTAAGCTGAGTTAGCCTAGAGCACAGATACAGATCTATTATTCATATAGTGTAGACACAATAAAGAAATATTCAATGTTTTGCAAGTATACCAGCTGAACAGTATATTTACTAAACGTGTACTTTTTTGACGAGTTTACAGTTTACTTTGCACATTTTAGTTGGTTTTGGGTCAATCACTACCTCTACATGTGTTTGGGAAGTTTGTAACTCCATCTAGCCATTTAAAATGTATTAGTGTGTGTTACAGAGTTGGGCACTGTATACTGTACAACATGAGAGATGTCTTGCAGTCATGTGCTGATGCTGTTGTTGCATTCTCTACACCAGAGCTCCCTAACCACAGAGTGGTGGACCACTACTTGGCCGGTGATCGTTTGATACCAGGTCACAAGTTCACGACAGTGGGCAGGGAATGTTAGTTGCAACCCTCGCAGGTAAGGTGGCTCAAACTGTAGCAGTTTCTAATTTCTGCCTGTATTTTGTTTCAAACTGCACAACTTCTAACTGTACTTGAATGCATCAAGTTCACAAAGCGGATTATTTCTATAAAGCCATTTTTGTAAATATGGCCTGTGTTTTGGTTGTGAGAAGCAGCAAAAACAACAAAAACACGTGTATGGTGTCCTTCCAAGACAAAACGCTGCTCTCACTGCAACCACACTCAGCCCTACAGTTTAGCTTGTTAATTTAAATTGTAAAACGTAAAAATTTTTTGTTTCTTTGTTTTCATTGCTTTTGGCAGCCAACCAGAGCTTCACTTGGTGGCTTTTTAGTATGTTTAGCCTGATTTGCATATAGATTTTAATTGGCCCTTGCCTAGAACTTCTGTTAAATTATCGCAGCATTACAAAACACTGATGTGCTAATCATCACCACAGTGACTTCAAGAATAGCTCTTATTTGCCATAGCTGCACATTTTGCATGCCGTAGCACTGTTATCACAGGGTTTTATGAATCTGGTTTAGTATTTTAAGTAAAATGTCATTTACTGTAAATGCTATGATGAACATATTACATTTTATGCCGTAAAGTCAAAAATATGCAAGTTTTCTCCTCAAATCAAGACTCAGTCTGCGTACTTCCAAAGAATGAAGCACTGCTTACACATTTTGCATCAAGTAGACCAACAGCTTTGTAGGAGGTGTGAAGAACGTCAAACTGAAATACACACCTGAACTCTGACACTGCTTACTCTGGCAGTTTCATTCTGACCACAAAGATGGTCACGTGACCTTGTGGGTTTAGGTATCACGGGGCGAATGCACATAACTTCATTGGAAAAGACGAAGTAATGAAACTTGATTCACTGCTACTAGTCAGACTTCTCACGATTTGATACTCACACTGATACTGACCTGACATAAGATGATCTTGGGGAAAAACTGTAGAATTTGCAAAACAATAACAACAAAATACCTGCATAATTCCAGTCAAATGTAAACATCTTCAAATGCAAGTTGGTACCAGACATAGGTGAAGGCTTTTTCCTGAACTCTTTACTCTTGTGAAGAGAATCGGCAACATGCGTAACCTATTGTACGCATGTATAACTTTGTTTGATTCACAACCAAACAGGACTAAAATAACAAAAATAAATAAAATACAATAAAAGGTATGCTCATTGATACTGTTATTGTAATGTTTATGCAGTTCATGTTAATCAGCTCAGCTTTTATGTAGACTCAAGATTTTTTTATTGACCACTTGACTTACAACCAAATATACAGTATTTTGTAAAAGTTACAGACAACAAAATTACAAAACTATATCAAAAACACTTAATTGGATAACTTTTTTTTGAGACCTCATCCGTGTTTTACATATGATTTTATTTGTGTACATCTGTGCAAATGTGTTTGCTAGTCATGTACTGGTTAACATTTTTGAGTTTGGCTCACTACCAAGTTTTGATGTTATTATTGTTTTGTTAGTGGCAAAATGGAACATTCAACAAAAATTATTATTATTATTTTTTTTTATTTTTCTCCCAATTTAGTGGTATCCATTTCCACCCACTAGTTAGCACTCCCCATTCACACGATACCACCAGCACTAGGAGGGTGAAGGCCAGCACAGGCTTCCTTCAAGACCTGTGAAGCACCACTGTATTGTTTTTGAACTGCTGCTTATGCAATGCTACTGGACAGCCAAACACGCTCGGAAGAAGGTGCCAACCGCCAGATCTGTTACGACAGCTAACAGATGCCTGCGCTGACTAGCATCGGGAGGCATCCTACCCACCCAGAGATCGAGGCCAATTGTTCTCTCTCGGACTCACGGCCACAGATGGCTGCAGCATCAGCGGGGAAGGAACTCGCGATTTCCTGATAGGGCTAACGCTTTGATGGTTGCGCCACTTGAGAACTCCCAATCATTGCATCGTAGGTCACTCAAATCAAAAGAAATTTTTGTCTAAATTCCAAGTCAGTTAAAAGTCTAAAATGTGTTTTCAACTCTGACTTTGCATTAATTTGGTAGAACAACCCATACAGTGTTTTTTTACTAACAAAAACCCACTGACTGCTGATGAAAATGATCTTAAACAATTTTTTAGGTACTTAACACTTTTTCACAGTTCTGCATATTTACTTTTTACACTTATTTTAGAAGGAAGCAACTACACGGTTGAAATAAATGTAATCTAGTGCTTTACACTGCTTTATATGATCTTCAGAACTCATTTTGCCTGCAGTTCAGTAAGTTATCTCTGCACTCTCAGAACACAAATTGTACTTGATCTTACTTGAGAGGGATGTAAACACGCAGATATCGGTCCACAGCAATGGCCAATAGGGAGTACACAGAGGCCTGAGTCAGCACGATGACCACACAGCTGATGAAAAGGCAGCCATGGAAAGACATCTCGACCCGTCCATCCACCAGCACAGCCAGGGGGACAGCCAGAGCCCCCACCAGGAAATCAGCCACTGCGAGGGACGCAATGAAACAGAAGGTGGGCTGCCTGAGGGCTCCAGATGTCCACACTGCCCAGATGACCAGCACATTGCCCAGACAACAGGCAACAGCAATGAATATTTCCAGTGCTGTGTAGATCACCTCCCCAACATCAGCCATTGTGAATTAGAAGGAGGGGAACCTCAGAGGAACGTGCTGGCTGTCTGGTTGTGATTACAGGAAGCTTTCCACACAAGTCACTCGTTCATTTGCTGCACACACACTAACAGAAATGAAAAGACAGAAAGTTTTGACCTTACAGACCACAGAGGGGCGTGTGGCGGTGACAGACGCGGAGGGGAACTTCCTTTAATATCAGTACTTTAGCATTTCATGTTGTTTGCATGGTTGTGCAGATATCCTGCAGAGGCAGGTGCTCAAAGTGAAACTACAGCACAACCTGTTTAACTACAGAGCTGAGATAACACGACTCAAAGAGAACATAAGGAATCTTACAAACCAAACATTACTATAGACTGGCATTTATCAGACTCTTCCGAGATTAGTCAGTTGTAGTACTCTCCAATATCTAAAAATACTTACTTATTTGAAAAATATTTGCAGACTTTACCCATGTAGTTAGAAGAGTCTGGTGCCTGGACAGTGCTGTTTCTTCAGTGTCTGCAGGGTCTGTAATCAGACCAAAATGCAGACAATTAACCAAAGCCATTTATAAGTCCCAGTTAAGCTGGCAGGGACTGATTAAAACTTCTTGAGACATTTTTGTACTAATTGAAGATCTAAAAATGAATCATTAATAAAATAGGATTCACATAAAATACACATGCAGTCAGATACAAAATGGGTGACACAGGTTGGCAGCTTCTTCCCCAAATATGACCCCAAAATTAATAATATAAAACAAAAATTAAATAAATCACAGCAGGGTTTATTGCGATTAAAGCAAACCTGATTCTCTTACTGTAAACCACAGGTTTCCAAACCTGGCCCCACTCTAGAACACCCACTTTAACTAAGGAAGGGTTTGTTATTTAACTGCTTGGTTGGATACATTTACAATACATATTGATAAGGCACATATGGGGGGACTTACACTTAATCAACACTGTTTTTTTTTGTTACTGACTTTAGCAGAGCTCAATAACACTGAGATTAATAACTGATCATATTGATTTATCAGTCAACTCAGGCTTTAGCAGAGCTCAGTAACACTGAGATTAATAACAGATCATCACATTGATTTATCAGTCAACTCAGGCTTTAGCAGAGCTCAGTAACACTGAGATTAATAACAGATCATCACATTGATTTATCAGTCAACTCAGGCTTTAGCAGAGCTCAGTAACACTGAGATTAATAACAGATCATCACATTGATTTATCGGTCTACTCAGGCTTTAGCAGAGCTCAGTAACACTGAGATTAATAACAGATCATCACATTGATTTATCGGTCTACTCAGGCTTTAGCAGAGCTCAGTAACACTGAGATTAATAACTGATCATCACACTGATTTATCAGTCTACTCAGGCTTTAGCAGAGCTCAGTAACACTGAGATTAATAACTGTTGTTTATTAAATAGCGATGATGTGAAGATGATGAAGGAGTCTCCGCTGACACCGTCTTGCTTGTATAAGATGTTTATTACAAAGTAAAACCGTATCATATCAAGCACCATAAAGTCCTTGAGAGGGGATCCGTGCCAATTCTGAAGTGTCCCCTCCAGAACAGTATAGCCCACTGCTTATATAGGGTGATGGTTTTCAAATAAGAGAGCAGAACATATGGTCCTTCTTTTTTTGTTACTGACTTTAGCAGAGCTCAGTAACACTGAGATCAATAACTGATCATATTGATTTATCAGTCTACTCAGGCTTTAGCAGAGCTCAGTAACACTGAGATTAATAACTGATCATCACACTGATTTATCAGTCTACTCAGGCTTTAGTAGAGCTCAGTAACACTGAGATTAATAACAGATCATCACATTGATTTATCGGTCTACTCAGGCTTTAGCAGAGCTCAGTAACACTGAGATTAATAACTGATCATCACACTGATTTATCAGTCTACTCAGGCTTTAGCAGAGCTCAGTAACACTGAGATTAATAACCAATCACATTGATTTATCAGTCTACTCAGGCTTTAGCAGAGCTCAGTACCACTGAGATTAATAATTGATCACATTGATTTATCAGTCTACTCAGGCTTTAGCAGAGCTCAGTAACACTGAGATTAATAACTGTTGTTTATTAAATAGCGATGATGTGAAGATGATGAAGGAGTCTCCGCTGACACCGTCTTGCTTGTATAAGATGTTTATTACAAAGTAAAACCGTATCATATCAAGCACCATAAAGTCCTTGAGAGGGGATCCGTGCCAATTCTGAAGTGTCCCCTCCAGAACAGTATAGCCCACTGCTTATATAGGGTGATGGTTTTCAAATAAGAGAGCAGAACATATGGTCCTTCTTTTTTTGTTACTGACTTTAGCAGAGCTCAGTAACACTGAGATCAATAACTGATCATATTGATTTATCAGTCTACTCAGGCTTTAGCAGAGCTCAGTAACACTGAGATTAATAACTGATCATCACACTGATTTATCAGTCTACTCAGGCTTTAGTAGAGCTCAGTAACACTGAGATTAATAACAGATCATCACATTGATTTATCGGTCTACTCAGGCTTTAGCAGAGCTCAGTAACACTGAGATTAATAACTGATCATCACACTGATTTATCAGTCTACTCAGGCTTTAGCAGAGCTCAGTAACACTGAGATTAATAACCAATCACATTGATTTATCAGTCTACTCAGGCTTTAGCAGAGCTCAGTACCACTGAGATTAATAATTGATCACATTGATTTATCAGTCTACTCAGGCTTTAGCAGAGCTCAGTAACACTGAGATTAATAACTGTTGTTTATTAAATAGCGATGATGTGAAGATGATGAAGGAGTCTCCGCTGACACCGTCTTGCTTGTATAAGATGTTTATTACAAAGTAAAACTGTATCATATCAAGCACCATAAAGTCCTTGAGAGGGGATCCGTGCCAATTCTGAAGTGTCCCCTCCAGAACAGTATAGCCCACTGCTTATATAGGGTGATGGTTTTCAAATAAGAGAGCAGAACATATGGTCCTTCTTTTTTTGTTACTGACTTTAGCAGAGCTCAGTAACACTGAGATCAATAACTGATCATATTGATTTATCAGTCTATTCAGGCTTTAGCAGAGCTCAGTAACACTGAGATTAATAACTGATCATCACACTGATTTATCAGTCTACTCAGGCTTTAACAGAGCTCAGTAACACTGAGATCAATAACTGATCACATTGATTTATCAGTCTACTCAGGCTTTAGCAGGAACAGCAGTTGTTTATTGAGTTGATGCTTAGAGTTCGTCTAACATGCATGTTTGCTGCATGCTGTACACAAGTTTTAAAATAAACAAGCTTTGGTGGTGTTTCTTTTCAAGTTGTTTTTAACTTTGAAGCAGATGCAGCATGTAAAGTGCACAGTGGGCAGTGAATGAAATGCAGTTTTAATGAAACAGCAGGTAGACTACTAAATATACAGAGCAGATTTCCTGGAGAAACAGACTGCACACACATTCCTATTACAGCATCACTGGGAGACCATGAAGCTGACTATATTAATAGGAAATCAGGGCAGCACATTAATGTTCAGGATGTAGTCTGTGAAATGGGTGTGTTCATTAAATGTCTGCCAGTCACAAACCAGGCTTTAACAGAACCTCAGTGGAGACACTTGCAACTTTTCAGATCACCTGTAATAATCAGCATTAACACAAAATAACCTGCGTTAGTTTATGACTGTTTGTAGAGCATTGCTACACTGTGCTACTGTGAGTGTTCAACAAAAGCTTACATCAGATTTGTTGCTAAGTGAATCATGACAATGTTTACCATTAAATGCTGAAACATTAATGATCAGTTGAAGCAACTAATAGAATAAAAAAACACATTAAATATGTTTGATGAACTATTTTATTTTGGATGTACCTTTATAATTTGAGCCTTTTGCAGCCCCTGCCTGAAAAAAGAAAGGAAAATTATTTGATATGAGAAACAAAGCTTTACTAATAATAATCTAACAAGTAAGAACTCCTGTGTTATAAGGTAAAATTAATTTATTAAAAAATAACAAATAACAAATCTGTTTAAGTTAAAAATAATCAAGGATATTTTTACGAGCATTTCATGCTCTTCCTGTGAGGGAATAAACAAGCACTCTGGTGGAGCTGTCATACTGAGCTTCGGGTTTATTTTATTCGTCCACAGAACTGTAATTTGTTGGTAAGTTGTTTTATTTTGCAGAGGCGATTTTTCCACCTTTAACCAGTGCTACAGTCTCTGAACAGATCAAACACATCAGTTTTGAACTTAAAAAGGGAATAAAAACACAAACTTCTCTGTTCCTTTGTTTTCATCAACAACTTTCCTTGTTTTAACATGTTGCTTCTACACTTAGAAATAAAACATAAAATTGAAAATCTGTGAAATTATTGGCTTTCTAGCTTGACCCTGTTGTCTCTGTTCTGATGAGCCTTTGGCTAAAGTCATTTACATAACTTCACGTGAATAGTGGAAGAGCTGCTGCAGGCCTGCTACTGAAAATATGTTGTTTCACGTTCATGTATGTTGTTGAAATAGAAGCATTTATCACTATGAGTTCGCTGAAATACTTTGTTGGGTCCACATGTGGACTGAGGCTCACCATATGACACCTGGTCTAGAGCCTGGAATGAATGTTGACTTCACTGTACAACGTTCTGCATTTTACAAGTAATGTTTCTTTTCTAATATGTCATATCTTTTGCATTCAACACTCTAAAAAAAGATGTTTTTCCACTGGTCTTTAGTAAAGAAAATTGTTCTATATAGAACCCTTTTGAAAAGGTTGCTGTATAGCACCAAAAAGGGTTGTACTAATGTTGTAAACTGGTATCGTAACAATAGCAGAACCCTTTTGGTGCTATATAGAACCATATACAACACATTTTCCATCAGGTTGAAGAAATGTTTCACGATGCAAAGAACCCTTTAATCATGCAAAGGATTCTTTAAGTGTTTATGGATCTATATAGAACCATTTTCTTTACTAAAGGACCCTTGAAGGACCATATTTTTAAAGTGTGTAGGACGTGTTGGAAAACAATACTTGTGACTATTATCAACATTTACCTTGATACAGTATCTCAATATTCACAAGAATATCT